AATTAACAAACTTAACATTCTTAAATAGAAAAAATTGTAAAGCTGATATCCTTTTTTACACCTTTACTCTAGAAATTCTTGTTGACTACATCACCAGAGGCACAAAGAACAATAAAAAATAACTCTAAATTTTAAGTACAATATAAGTATTTTTTAAAGGTTTAAAATTAGTTTTTTTTTTTCTTAATGCACCAGTGATTTAATCTCATCTTCCAAATTTTGTTAAAAGAAAATAAAATTTAACATGAATATCATTAGGATTGGTTAAAAGCATTCATAATGAAAATTTAAAACTCCTCAACCAAACATCCAAAAATAATAAAATGTCAAGACTAGTTCTATTATGTAGTTTTAAAACTTTTAGAATGATATTTCTTTAAAACTTAGAAGAATCAGAATATCATTTTAGGAACAAATTACAAATTTAAGATTCTAAAAGTAGAGTCATAGATTGGTTCTAAGGAAATTGAGTTACAAGTGAATTAGAAATTTAGAATTTAGGTTAGAGTACATGATTAAAAAGGAAAAATAAATTAGAGAATATGAAGATGTTCTATTTTTATTTTTTAATTAAGTTAATAAAGTTATTATTTTGTAAAACAAGAAAATAAAATTTAAAACACTACAAAAAAAATATTATATTATTTAATTAAATTATTGTGTAATTAGATTTTATTTTGTAATCGGGTAGTTCGGATGATTTCAAGGTAAAATTACAAACCAAACTAATTATATTGGTTTTAAAAGTTTATAATTTAAATCAACCCATTTTATATTGGTTTGGTTTAGTTTTTTATTGGATTGAGTCTATTTGGATTGAATCAATCTGATTAGATCAATTTGAATTAAGTAAATTAGATTGGATCGGATATGAATGTCCTTATATATTACCACTTTAATTTAGAAAGTTTTATTCATTTTTTAGTTCTAGTTTGTGCGTACGTAACCCCATATGGCAGCAGAAAAATTATATTTTAACAATAAAAAAAAAGTAATAGAAAATTTGGAAAATAGCATTATTAATTGGCTAAGATGAAAAGAAAATTAAGAAAGTATGGGATATGTGGTTGATTATGCATTAAAATGTAATTTTCTTGTGTTATGTGATACCAATGTAGTGCTATGTAGTTATTTACATAGAATTATTTTAGGACTAAAAGAATTTCAGCACATAGAGTAGAACGTTTACGAGTAGGGATCCATTAAATATTTATTTAAGATTTTAAATGAATATGAAATCACTCATTAAGTATTTATTTTGACTGAGTAAAAAGAAACAAGGAAAAAGACATGTGGAGATAAAGATTTAAAAATTTTTATTTTATTGAAAGTTAAAAAAAAAAAAAATTCCTTACTTCTATAACATGCTTTTAGCTTAGTTTGAAAACTGCTAATTCTAAGTGCCGGCTCCACTTTAAAATTAAGGACAACGTGACAAAATTGGTAGGCGGTTGTTAGTAGGAATGCAATGGGCAAGTGCTCCTAGCGCTGCTCTATAAAATTAAGGACAACGTGGCAAAATTTGGGATTTTTTTATTATTATAATTTATCATTATTTAATTTACTCGTACAATTTTGTAGTGATGTCTTTTTCCATCAATTCACTTTAACGTGACTCAAATTCTTAATAAAATTTTCAATAAATGGCATTAAAATTAAAGAGGGAAATTTAATTCCCAACAGCGGATTACACATCCTAGCGCAATGACAATATATTGAATAAAGATGTGAAGAAGAAAAAAGAAACCATAAAAAACAGGAGTAAATTTTTGCTGCATTCTTAAGCTTAAGGTAATGGTATTTTTCAGTATGAACTTTTTTT